GATATATCTCGGCATGGAAAAATCGTAAAGACTTAAACTTTTCTAAAAGATGAACGATCAAAAGCTCTGCATAAGCTGTATGAACAAATCTCTATTGACTTGTTCCAATGATTTTTGTAGACGATTAAAATCGAAGATCTGCGTGAACTTGCTATCGGATGTTCCAAAAGATTGGTAGCATTTTTTATTTTGCATATATCTTGGCACGAGAAAGCGATAAAATCTTCAACTTTTTCAAAAGATGCGCTGTGAAAAGGTCTACAATAAATTGTAAAAAAAAAATGTCTATTGATCTATTCTGATGGTTTTTCTCAATTGAAAATAAGCAACCCATTTGATATTGTTGTTTTCCACTATATGGAGCACAATAAATTTCTTTTGGAAGACTTATTTTACATATATCTCGGCATAGGTAAATGAGATAATCTTGATTTTTTTTTTGGTAAAAGATGCACCGTCGAAAGCGTGGAAAGTAGCACTATCATGTAGGTTTTTCATTTTGTGTATAAAAAAAGACTATCTAAACAAATCAGAAGAAAATTTGTTACAGTTATTATAGAGAATTTGACGGTTCATCTTTTCGAAGAAATTCAAGATTTTATATTTTGTCTGTAGAGAATTATGTGCAAAATAGACTATGTTGTAAACATTGTGAGACATCCGATAAAAATTTTCAAAAAGCTTTTATCCATTTTGCTGGCTAATCATGAACGATTTTCAATTAGTTGGAGGTACGCATCCCCCTGCATTCCCTACTTTCGTGGATGCTGTGATTGACAGATAGATTTTTGAGTTCTTTATATACAAATATCTGCGATACATTGACTACACTTCAAAGTAATTACGTCTAAGTGTTCCGCAAAACCTTCGCGTCTAAAACAAAAAATGCAAAATCATATTTCATATCTTAGCTTTTTTTTTAGACATTGTGTTCAAAGCTTTCCAATTAAGGTCGCTAACATGATTACAGTTTAGGAGGTTCAAACGAACATATTCTCATAGATTGTTTTTGCCTTTCATTTGCGTTTTCATGATTTATATCATATGGCTGCACTTAAAACTAAATTACAGAAAAGTATAGAATAACATAAAATATTGAACGTGGAGTGTTGGTGTAAATATTAAAACACTAAACAAGGTTCACTGGGACAAGGATTTCACTAGCACATTGGTGCTCACTGCCTACACACATCCGCATTCATTGCAGCATTGAAGTACCAACTCTATCAAAATATGCCTTTTTTTGTAATGATATATTCCAATTCTTCGATGAATACTGATGTAAATGTGTACTCACTACACGGAGTCGATGGTCGATAAACTGAAACTACATATTCCTAGTTATATAGTAGAAAAAAAGCAGTAAAAATTGAAATTTTTTAAAATTTTATTTACAAGAAAATACCAAACGAAAACTATAATAATTCGAAGTTTCTGTTTTTTGTTTTTGTTGATGCAGTTCATTGTTCTTGCATAATCAATGAATATTTCGTTCTGTGTTTGTTAAGGCGTATAAGAAAGATTAGCAGAAATAAGTAATAATTTAGCCGTGTTATTCAATGAAACATCATCCTCAGTAATTATTGTATCAGAAACAAGAGAACATGTTGCAGTTTGATTATAAAAAGTTAATGCTGAACATCCATTTGTTAATAAACATTGACAAACACAAGTACCAATTGTTTGATTTGCTATTATTTGATTAGTAGCTTTATGTGCAAAGCCTATCGAAAAATGAATATTAATTTACAAGGGAAAAAAAACAAAAGATGTTGTATACTATCTTACCATCATAGTATGTGTAATTTCCACAAAAAGCGCTGAGAACAATACAAAAGAGAAAGAGACACGTACGCCACATAATGTCTTTCATTTTTTAAATGAGATATGCCATTATTTTCCATTTCTTCTCTTATATATATATATTATTCCATTTAAAAGTAAAAACAAAATAAGACAGCAAAAAATTCTTTTTTTCTCAACTAATAAATGAGCGAATAATTTTTTTCTTCATGACTTTGAAAGCACTTTTTTTAATTTTCTAACAAAAAAAATAGAATATTAATTCATTTTTTTTTCTGATAATGAGACAAACTGATATTTGTATAGGAAATATATTGGCTATGTGTTAATTAATGTCGATTGAAAAACATCAAAAGCACAGAATAAAAAAAAATAGAATCTATGATGATGTTCTTCTTCTTCTACTTCTTTTCAGAAACAATTAGTTTTGCTTATGGTTTTATATTTTCTTTTAATCTTTTTTAAGCTATGGTTGTCTCAAGGTGTCTTTTACTTTTAATAAACAACAGCAAATATACTTTTATTTTTTTTTAACAGTTGCACGGTAATAAAAAAAAATTTCAATGAAAATTTTAAAATTTCTTTTTCTTACATAATTACATAGAATCAGTTTTGAGAATATATTTGATTGTGTCGGATACATGCAATACGATCAAATGATTATTAAAAAATTTTTTTTATTTAGTAAAAATTCGTAGAAAAAATTCATATTGTTTAAGCTAGCATATGTTTTTCGTATAATAATAACGAATGGATGAAACATGAAATGAATTTATATATGAGCTATAGGCATGACTATGTTCAAGACAATTCACAAAAAGAAATATTTTATAAGATTATGTTCTTGTATAATAACATTATCTTTTATCTTTCGACAAAAAAGCCAGTTCTAGAGAATCAATAATATATTTTTAATGCATAACTTTCTAATTAAATAATAAGTTTCATATGGAATTACAAGAAAATTTTCATTGTGAAATTTACTAGAATCAAATATTAATTGATACTTGTATGAAACATATTTATTTTCATTTTAAATTATTACACATACAGTAAAATCTTTCTATATGAGCACATCCTTATACTGAGCAGTGCAGAGTCCGTTCAAGCGAATTTTGCTGGAAATGAGTCCCTGCTCATTCTGAAATGTGAGCGTTTATTTCTAGTCCCATGAGTAATAAAAAACCTCCATAACGTGAGCAATGTATGCTCTATAACTAACGTACAGAATGAAAAGAAAACGATATTATGCGTATTGCATTTTGATAAACAATCAAGTAATATATATTAAGAGTAGATGAACTAACCGAGAACATAAAATAGAAAAAAATTTCTTGAATAGTAACAACATTGCTTGATTAAGTATTTCGTCATTTTGTGTTAACAGCTAGTAATATAGAATCATGCCAATATCTATTGATTTACTTTTGTTTCAAAAATTGAATTAATAAACTATTGAAAAGAAGAAAAACATCACCTTATGCAATCGACAAGCCATTGTGAATGAATATTTTAGTGTTTGAAAAAAAAATCTCCCAATAATGAGTACTTCCGTAAACCAAGCATTTTTGGTCAGTCCTGATGGTGCTTATATTAGAGAGATTTTACGATCCTTTCAGCGACTAAGAACATTTTTGTACCACATTGTATTCGACATTTGCAATTTAGAAGGACGTGCCAGGGTGGCCGAGTGGTTAAGGCGTTGGACTTAAGATCCAATTCACAATAGTGAGCATGGGTTCGATCCCCATCCCTGGCAATTTGTCTTTTTTTTTATCCCATTCTGTCCTTCATGAGAAATCTTGATGACGTCATAAAACAACATCATAAAGAAGTAATTGCAACACAACGAGTAAGATGGAAAACATCGATATATCTAATATATCTTGGAAAGTAGCAACTGTACAATGCAATGAAATATAAGATTTAATATTTATTTATTTTTTGTATAGAAATTTCTCTGTAGAAAAACATAATAAAATTAAGAGACAGTATAATTTTATCTATAGACATAAATAGAAAAATATGTTTGCTGAAATGAATGAATTTGATGCAAGTTTAAACAAGAAAAATGTTTTCATATTGGACTATGCTGATCAAAAAAGATTTACTAGTTATTCAAATAATGATTTATTTTCTTTTTGATAGAAGTCAAATAGTTTGAAATTATCATCCATAAACTAAAGATATACTCAAAGTAATCTCATTTATAGAGAGTTATTGATCCAGAAATTTAGCTTCTGTCGGATTCGGATCCACAAAAACTTGGACTAGCACCTCCCTACTCATCTATATTTTCAAAAACATAATAACTTTATTTCGAGTGATCAGCAGCAATTTATAAGTCCAAGAATGAGGATGATAGTCTAGCAAAGTTTTAGAATTTTCATTGAGGAATTGAGACAAGCATTGATATATGGTGATACTATCCCCAAGCATTAATCGACATTGAATATCATTTATCATTATCTATAAACTATTCATTTTAACTTCTTCTTGCAATTTCTTCAATAATGTTAATGACAACATTTGTTAAAAATTAATTGGGTTCTTCTCGAGATCGATGACATCCTATACACTAATTACTCTAACTGACGGAGCACATCAAATAGTGAAGATGCTGCGGTATCGCTGATCTTCAGAAGTACTTAATGTCATACAGTAGATTAAGTGACTAAAAGCGGCAATGATCAATTCCTTTTTTTAAAGAACAAACAAATCGAAATGATTATTTTTTTTCTCTGTTTAATAACATAAATGATAATAGCATCATTATTAATAAATTATTTAAACAAAATCATCACTTTCAATCAAATCGTTTAATAATCGTCAAATAAGTTTTGTGTGATTCATCAAATAATTGATTGGTTCGAGGTATAGCTACTCTACGTTCATTCATCGTTTATTTTAAAAAAATCTTTATATGTAACTAAAGAAGAAGAAAAAAAGAGGTCGATTCCTGGCAACGCTTTTAAACTTATAACATGGAACTGTCATACATCGTCTAATCTTCTATAACACCGTTGTTGTCAAGAGCATCCACTTGTCAAGTGGTCCGACTGTAAGTGATCATCTATATTATGCTTGTCAATCAGTCATATAACAAAACGTTCTTTTCTTTTTTTGTTATTTAGTTAATTACCTAACAGATGGATACACAACGACGATTTCCAAATGCAGGACCCTTGTTACCTGACATGCCTCGATCGTAAGATATTAAATTTTACTAAAAACTAAAAGTTCATTCTGTTTTGTTTTAGACCTCAACCGTCAAATGTTCCAACACCATCATCAACTCAACTTATGCCTATTGATGCACGTTTTCCTCCACCAATGTTACCTCCAATAGGTACACAATCATTACCAAATGCACCAATATTTCCTTTACGTACTGGTACTCAACCATCAATGTAATTTTTGTTTTCTTTTAATCTTTTATAAAAGTATATTTCTATATTAAATTTTTTTTGGTTTTGTTTTTTATTCAAGGTTTGATGATTCATTAAATCAATCTCTATATAAAGTAAAACAATTAGAAAGTCGTTTACAAATGACAGAAATATCTAATCGTGCTTTACTTGAAGAAGTTGTTCGTTTACAAACTGAAGTATTCAATGCTGTATGTATATATATATATATATATTTACTTCTGATATAAAAAAAGAAAATTTAAATATTGATTTTATTTTTAGATTCGTCAAAGTCAAACAATTCTTCAAGAAGAACGTTTATCTCGTCAACAAATAGAAAATAATGTTCGTATTCAAAATGATGTAATTCTACAATTAACAGCACGTATTAAACGAAATGAGGATGCATTTAATGATGAATATCAATCAACATTATCAGTTAATACAAGTGTTCGAGGACTTGAACAACAAATAGCTGCTATACAAAGAGAACATTTTGTTCGACGTGATACTCAATCAATTAGGTTTGAATTCTAATCAATGAAATTTTCATTTTGAATTAATGATTTTTCTAAATTTTTTCATTAAATTAAGTGTTGAAGGAATTCGAAAACAACTTGGTGAAACTAGTATTCAACGAGAACAATTAGAAAAAATACAATTAAATTTAGTTGAAGAACTTCGTTCTATTCGTAATCGCTTAGAAATTGATTCATCTAATTTTAATGCATTAACGAATGAAGTTAGACACCGAACAAGAAAATTAGAAGATGATCATCGATTAACGGTAAACATACTAGAAGACAAATGAAAGAAAATCTCATACTATGTCATCTTTCTATTCAAATCTTTTCAACCATATATCATAGAGGTTTTAAAGAAAAGCAACAATTAAGCATAATATAGAATTAATTGCATGTTTGACGGAAGTATGATTCCTATTCCGCTTCCTCAGAAGCTCAAGTTACGGATATGTGGATGATCTCTTTACTTGAATGTTGACATTCATATTCTGAACTTATTGAAATGTTACGAAAAGATAAAAACCATATTGATTGTCGAATAACAAAAAACAGCGTAGACAGAAATTCCAAAATAAAGAAAAATTATGGGAAATTTTTACAGCAACTACGTGTACGGCTTCATACTCAATTAGAAGAATTTCACAAAACATTCGTATTTATATTCATATCTAATGTTTCGTATACTTCAATAAATTGTTAATTATTTTCTGGACCTCTCTCAGTTATTTCTTCATGATGTTAAGAAAATTTTTCTCTTGATTTTATTTTTCAGCATTGCGACTATTTATTATAGTGCCCCATTGTCGTAGATCGAGTTTTTAAAATTTTATAAAACTTTATATTAAAAATTTAGTATATGATGACAAGTAAATATTTTCATGAAAATATACCGTTAAACTTTGATAATTTTAAGTCATTAATTGACAATGTTTGTAAAAATATATGCTAGTGAAACGAACTAATACTTGGTGACTCTTGATTTTTTTATTAAAAGTAAAAGAAATTCCTTTATTTTACTCATATTATATTTCTATGTATTTATTTTAATATGTCAATAAAGCATATCTCTGTTACACAAGCTTTCTTTGTAATATACTACTACAAAATCGAAAAACTAGATTAAAGTTATTGGAGAATAGCTACTATTGTTAGTTTCATTAAATTGTAATCTACAATTGTTCTATACAATCATAGATTATCAAATATTTTAACGGATGTCCAAGTGCTTGTTTTCTCTTACTTTTTAAGCATAAGAAGTTCTTGTCATATGCCAAAAGATATAGAATTACTCCACTGTACAAACCTGTCAACTTTTTTTTATCAAACAAATTTAACCTTGTCTGGTATCAAATTTAATAGATTTACGTCTACTTAGTCATTTCACTGCGATTTCTTATTCTCTGCTGACATTTATTGATTTTTGTAAAGGCTTTGTTCATCATAGCTGATGTCAAAAGTAAATTACTTAATACTAATAGACAGAGAATTTTGTGCTATATGTTTCAACCATCTCTTCAAGGTTCCTGAGGCTGGTGCTTATAAGAAAACGATTTGCAACTGACAATTGTCAGTACTTTTGAGTCCACTTTGAAAAAGCTTGTTTTCATAAGCCAGATTCGCTCTATAAAATATGTATTATTATACTATCGGATATAGAATTTAATTCGAAACAAAATAGTATAAATATCGAATTGAAATGTGAAAATATTTAGAGTGCTTCGAGTTAGAAAACAACAATGGCATATGTCTACCAAAAAAAGGACTTGTTCTTATGATTTCGCGATTTTACTTCAAAACTGTTTCTTCCAAATGTCATTTTTCTTCTAAAATTTTGAAACTTGTATCTAGAGATGCCGAATTTAAAAGAGAAGTTTGTAAGATATTGAAAATTTACTGGAATCTTTATTAAAAAATTGTCATCAGTTTTCTTGACTGTTGCAATTTGACGAGTAAGTAAGTGTTTTTCTTCTAAGCTTTGCGCTGACAAGAGAGAGCTGTTTAAGAAATAAAATCAACAATTTTGTAGACCTTGAAGTTCTGTCCTTAGGCATAAGAGGAAAATTTTTTTTATAATTAAGAAAAGAGAAAGAAAAGGTGCTGAGATTTAGTGCCATAGAAAAACAGTTTCTTTGAAGTTCTATTAATCATGCTATTTTTAAAATACAGAAAATTTTCTAAATTAATTCATATCAATTGTTTCATATCTAATAATATAAATTTATCTTTCTTTAAATTAAACCATATACATGACTGAAAGTTGATGTTTATCGAGATCTTTTTCATTAGATTTCTATTCATCTCATATTTTGAACTGACATCATGAAAAAAAATGGGTCTAGGACACCTGCACATTAGGACAAGTGCTCGCTCTGATACTTCCGCCGTAGCGCAAATGGTCATCGAATAGATTCTATCTTAATTTTTGAACGGATGATGTACGCTAATATTAATTCAAACAGTAAATTCAATCATTTGAGTATCACCTGAATAGTTCAATAAATTTTTCCATATGTAATTTGAGAAGGGATGTGAATGAAGAGGAAACCCATCCACCTACACCCTCTACATTCAGACATTATCAACACTATATCGAGTAATCAACTATCACAGTAAATAAATGCTGATGATCAGTAAAGTCTATCATGTGTTTACTCTCTTTCTACTTCTAGTTCAATATTGTTGTTCCTTATTGGTTTTTTTTAATATCATCTTATTGTTTATTTTTGGGTTCTTCTTGAAAGTTTTTTCAGCAAGGACCTGTCCTAGGATAGAAATGTCTTAGTGAACAACTGTTCGACTCCTATAAAAACTATCTGAAGTTTGGAAATGTTCTAAATTTTAAATATACTTAGAGTGATCTTGTACGTAAACAACAAGAAACAATCAATGCTGGTGATCTTCTTTTTAATTCATTTCGTACTGCATATGATCAAAAGTAAATCAAAAAAATATTTTTATAAAGATTAGAAATCTTATTATATAATTTTTTAGAATGAATGAATATCGAGATTTATTCAATGAAATAAAAAGTCGTCTTGATTTCGAACGAGAAGATCGTCGTTTAGTTGAAGCTCAATTAACATCTAGGTATAAAAATTAAAAACAAAAAATAATAATAATAATAATTTACAATAAACTTATTTTTCTTATCGAATAGATTAAATGATGCTCAATCAACAATTAATTCAACTCGTTCAACTCAAACAGAAATTGTTAAAACAATGGAAAATATGCGTCGAGAAAGTATTAGTCAAATTGAACAAACACATGTACGATTAAGACAAGAAATGAGTGATATGAATAATCAAATGATACAACGAACAATAGATAAATTAGATCGTTTACGCGATGAAATGGAATATAAAACAAAAGAAAATGAAAAGGTATAAAAAAAAGATTTTTCTAGAATTTTCAAACTATTTCAAATAGATAATTTTTAAAAATATTTTATCCTAAAAATTATTCAAACAGAATCATCAACTTGAAAATGAACAACGTCAACGACAATTACAATCTATGCAAAGTGATTTTGAACAACAAATTGAAACATTAAAAAGTATTATGAATGAAGAACAAGGCAGAATATATAATGAGATTAGGGTATTTTATTGTGTTTTACAAATAATCTTGGATTTGATAATATGTTTGTTTTTTTATTTTTGATTTACTCACACACGTGTGCATAAACTAATTTATTAATTTTATTTAAAAAAAATCAAAAACTAAATAATAAATATATATATTGATTATGTTTTGTTTTTTTTTTGTATTATTTAGGAAACAACAAGAAAAAGTGCTGAATCATTAAGAAAATTAAATGATGGTATTACTTTAATTGAACAACAAACTGATGAAAATCGACGAAAAATTGAAAAAGTTCTTGATGCAGAAATTAAATCACGGTTAGTCAATTATTTCACTTATATTCTAAATCTCAGATGATTCTATATAGAAGCACGTTTGTTTTATTTTAAATATTTCTTATAATAATAGCTGATATGAATGTCCTAGAAAACATTCGTCTAGGAATCAAAATTATATTTCCGTTTAGAAAATTCAAATTCCTATAACAGTATGTCTATATATAAATGGAAAGTGGAACTTTATTCAGATTTAATTAGACATAAAATTAGATTAACTATATTTCATGATAGAATTTTAATTTTAGCAAACAACAATACAAAGAATTGGCTGATACGATAACAAAAGCAGATGAAAAATCAAATTATCAAATTGGTACAATACAATCATCAATCAGTAATATTAATACACGTCTAGCAGAACTTCGTGATTTAGTATGAAATTATTTTGTTATTATATTAAGAATATTTATCGATTTGTTTTTCTTTATTTTTGTAGAGTAATAAACCAGAAATTATTAATATAAATCGTCGACTTGATACAATCGAACATACACATCGTGAATCTAATGGAAATATTCAAACATTGACAAATCATCTAGCTGATCTATCATCACGTCATACAGCTAATGATACACGTCTTCGACAAACAGAAGATAAAATCAAAGAAGATGAACAAACGGTTCGTGACTTAGCAGCTCGTATTGCTTTACTACCGACTACTGAAGATGTTGTCTCTGTTCGACGTGATCTAAATGATAAAGTATGCTTTATGCATTTTGCTCTATGTTCCTTTCTTCTTTTCCCTTTCATTTTTATTTTTCGCTTTGCTTATGCATGTATGTTATGTATTTGTCTATATGTATCAGATTCGTAACGATCTACAAAAAGGTATGCAACAACATGAAGAAAATCTATCGCAGGCACTTGTTAAACATGAACAACGTATTAATAATGTACGTGTTGATTTAAATGTGCTCGAAGAACAAATTAATCAACGTATGACTCAGGTAAGTTGAGAAAAAAAAAACGTTTGTATAATTGATAATTTAAAAATAACACGTATATTCATATAGATAGTAGAATTGTTTTTGAAGTTTGTTCATTTTTTTTTCTTGTCATTGCTTTAATTGTCATATGTAAAACAAACTGCTTGTTTTTATTTATTTATATTTAAATCAAAATTGAAGAGTATATTTTTAGAATGACCAACAATTAGCAAATCAAATACGTGATAAACACGCTGATCAAGATATGTGGCGAAGAGAAGTTGATCAAAAAATGGCTCGTCTAATGAATTTACGAGATACATTACCACAAGAAGTAGAATATAACATAAAAAAAAATAATATTTCTTTTTTTATTTTTCTTATAAATTAATTTTAATATAGATTTATAATCTAAATGAAAAAATATCCGCAATACGACAAGAATGTATGAAATTTTCTCAAGAAGAAAATTTTCGAACGTAAAAAAAAAAAGGAATTATTCAAATATATATATTTTTTTCTATTTATGAATTTTTATCATATAGGAAAGATGAAATTGAACGTTTACGTAAAGATTTTGGACATGTGCAACGTTCTATAGCTGCTCCATCACCTACAAGAACAGTGAAACAACAAGATGTTGATTATGTATGTATAGATTCAGTCAAAATTGATTTTAATTTTTATAGAATATTTCTCTCAACAGGAAAATTCTGAATCTGAAATTGAGGAGGTATTTAATCATGTATCTATTTTTTTAATGCACTTAATGCATGTTATAAGTTATTTCACTATTTCCAATATTACACTATATTTCTCAAATCACTAGATTAAGTTAAAGAAAATATAAAAACAAACAATGAACAATATTAATGACTGAGATTTCATCTCAAATGCGAGGTATCACCTCGGATGATTCCTTCGTTAGAGTATAGTAAATTGATAACATTAGTCAATCCTTCAAAATTGTTCTTATGTAGAATAATTCAAAGTATGTGTAAATAGTGATACATGAGTTCAAGCGTCTCGAAAATAGAGAATAATAAGGCCATGAAAAAAAAAGACTAGAAAAACATAGTTCAAACTGCTTGACTGTTTGTTCTTTTTATAATCAAGTCTTCTATAATAGACTAGTAGCAACTTCATGTGTTATGTTTATTTTATTAATGTGGATATGCACGGATCCCAGGTTGGACGGATAATGTTAATCCTAGACATAGTCGTATTAAGATTAAATGTATCTGAGAAAACTTATGTAAACGTAATATATATTTATCTATTTGTTTTTCAAATATTATCAGAATAAAAAAGAAAATAATACTAAGTTCAATTCGTGATACGATTATAAATGATTTCTTTTTTCATAATTGTGCATAGTTACATTTATCAGTACGTTATATTAAATTAATTTTTGTGTATGTATGTATGTAGTTATATTGTGAAGTACGTACTTTACGTGAAATGAACGAAAATATTCTTGCTCGTTTGGAATATTATAATACAAATGCTGATAAAAGAAATTTAGCAATAACAACAAACAATACTTCTCAATCATTATCAACATTTTGGAATAATCATCATCATATACAAAAGAACAAAACAAAAACAAATAAATAAACAAAACAACAATTAAAAAATGAATCTATTCGAAATATTTTGAGTAGTTATTCTGTTTATGATAATAATCACTACCTTACCCTTCCCTTCCTTATTCATCATTGACATTTCTTTATTTTTGACTATTCATTAGCTAATACCATTCCCAATGCTTTAATTTTTGCTTTATAGCGACCACCGCCATTACCAAGACCTGCATCGAATAATGAAATGGATCCTGATGCTCCAGATGAATAGTTAATTCTTTCTTCATCCCTATCCATCGAATATTAGTATATTAACGGTAATTAATATATACATGCGTGCATTAATGTAATAATAGATAGCTTTGTTTATGTTTTAATGTTTTCTTGATTAATCATATTTATTGATATTTGTTTCATTTAAATTTTTTTATTTTTTTATTTTTTTCTTCTAGGTGGATATTTTTGGATTTTATTTTATTGAAATACTAATAAATATGAAGACGACTAATAAACAACGAATTGTTAATAATTATCACTACTTATACTTTTTTAGTTCTATTTTAATTGCTTTTATTTTTATTGTCCGGTGTTTGAATTATATGATTAAAAAAAAACGAAGAAAATCGCTTTGCGGTATCCATAACATATTGTTTTGTATATATTTATATTAGATAAACATATTATGTTGGTATATAGGATAATAGATAGATGATTAGATTAAAATTAATTATAATAGTTTAACAAACTTATTTTAAAGAAGATATTAATTCAATGAAAAATCAATGATTTCTTATTACCATCAATCATGCATAATGTTATTTTGTACGACAAAAAAATAATAATTTAGAATTTATACTTCAGTTTCTCCGGAAGTATCAGTCAATTAGACCAGAGTAATATTCGAAATGATTTTCTAATAATAATCTTTTAATACTGAAATCCAACCAAGAACTTCTCGATGATAAGTAATGTTTTGATCTAAAAGAATTTAAAATCACTCATCATCAATAATAATAAATGAACTGTTATGTAGAATCAATATTCAGAAATGCTCTTCATGCATTATTGCATAAGTAATCATACAATTTATACATATTTTGATGTAAAATATGATGCAATAATTCATAATTTAAGTCTGTTCGTCAAATAGTTATCTATAATCATTTGATAATGTAGGAAAACACATGTTGAATATAATCAATTGAATATGAATTCAAACGAAAGCTTGGAAATATGTGAAAGTAAATTAGATTAACAAAATGTTTTTACAAATAAAACAATGCTGAATAATTATCAGATTTTCAAAAGTATAATTCATTTTTTTGTTTTATTACGACTTTTCAATTGCTATATAAGTGGATTGTCTTTTGGAATTTTACAAGTTCACGAGAATGTATTTAATATAGATACCTACAAATGTTGTAGCTAAGCGAAAGATTTGTCTTTTTATCTTTATGAATTTCATGAAAATAAATTCAAACATATTACTTAATGATTTTATTGACTGCGACACGAGAGTAAAAGTTAGATCTATTAATTGATATCGTCAAAAATTTTTCTTCTCTTCATTGCTAAACTATTTTTTTGCATTACAAACAGCAAGTATTAATGGAGTCATCTCATTAAACTCAATTGTTACTTACAGTTAACTCTAAAAATTCATTTAACCAATTTCCATAGAGTTCCATCGATGAAAAGCTGTTACGTAGAGTTTATCAAGGAACTATCCCTAACGAACACACAGATAAAAATCGAATTTTTTTTTACCCTTCCCTTCCTCCTGTCCTGCTTTCAGAACTTTTTTAGAAAAAGCCTAGTTGTTCTAATATACTTTTGTTTTTTTTTTGTATTAAACGACTGATATACATAATTTATTCGTAGATGATGCTGAAAAGTTCTTCTTTTCGAAATGCTGCTGAAAATCAATTTAACTTGAAAATGCTTAAAAAAATAACAGAAAAATCACAATTAGTGTCGGGATATTCATATGTGTCTGTCTCATCGCATCTCCCTGTCTGGAAATGTATGCTTTTGGCTGACCCGCCCTCTCCCTTTTCCTGGACCCATTTTATCGATAGTCTTTAATGGTAATCAAATAAAAAAAATCTGATTTATATAAAGATTCATAGAACCTAAACGCACTAGAAAAATAAAATAATTTCATTTCCGTTTCAAATCAAAATCAGTTAATCCACTAATCAAAATTCACCATAGCCTCTATAGTGTAATGAAAATGTAATTTCGTGCAATGAACTAATTTTATTATTGTTCACTTATTTGTTGCTGCTTTAGAAACTCATAATCCATAGAATATTGAATCAGTCTAATGTGTTGTTTCAAATTGTATAGGCACATTCGAGCGACATCACTTTCATTTATCTGCCTATTCATATCAATATACATATATTTATATATCTTTCATTGTTCAATTGAGCTGTTATTTGTATTGGTGCATTAATATTCAATTCATCTTGAAAAGATGACTTCATTCATTCTGTTTTAAATTTCTATCTTATAGTATATTTAGGATTATAATTGTTTTCCTTATTGTAGAAGATTTGTAGAACATTCAAACATTAAATTCTCTATTTGATATTATTCTTGACAAGAATTTTCTTATTCAATAGTCATATATTTCTTATTCTTCATAATCATATATAGTTTGTCTATGGAGCTTAGTATTGTTATACTTTGCTTTATAGAGATATGTGTTTTTTTCTTTACTAATATCATGGAATACATGCACACACGTATCTTTCGTTTTATCGTTATTTTTTCTACTCGTTCTCTTGTTAATAAAGAAAAAAAAAGTAGTCTTGGTTCTTCTTTTTTTTTCGCTATGAGTTACACTCGACATATTATATAAGGTTTTTTAACTTCGCTTTTTTTTTTCTTTTTTTCGTTCGTTTATTCGCTTGACTGAATTGCGCTTGTCGTCAATGCAAATAATGATCATTAAAATAAAGAAATAATGTGTTTTTTTCTTATTACTATGTTGTTATTATTCTTAATGTTTATGAATTTTGCATGAATATTTATATAGATGATTTTCCTTTTTTTTGTTTTTCGTTGTAGAACGTTTTTTTGTATAATTTAATAATACAATGAATTCGTTGGTTACTACTTTATTCGGTCTTTTTATAATCTATGTAATAGTAGTAACAACTGGTTAGTGTGAAATGAGAGTTGTTTTTACTTTTTATATAATTGTATATTACATTTGGTTTTCTAGTTTATTGTGCTGAAATCAAAAATACGGGTTTAACAAAAGATGAAATGATTGCATTAACACGTGATCATTTTGGACGACCTGATCCAGATAGTTTACTAAATGGTTTTTTTCCTGTTTGGGCTGTTATTCAATTTTGTCTTTCAGGTAAGTTATTCGAAAGAAAAAAAAAGAAACAACAATGAATAAAGATATAAATTTTTGTGTTAAATATTTTAGGTTTCTTTCTTGTTATTGGTATAATTAGTGGTGTATGCTATTTATTGGGTTGCAGAACACCACCAGACGAACTTAAACAAATTAAATAAAATAATTAAAAAAATGACAATCATCTTTATCTTCTCATTATTTTTCCATTATAACTAATATCCATTGTGAAAAAATTCCAATTTGTGTATTAGTCTGATTAATGTAATAGTTCTTTGTTTTTTTTTGTGTGTATGTGTGTCTTCGTTTTCGTTTAGTAATTAATAAATGTGGTGCGAATTCATATTGTGTTGTCGTTGTTATTTTTGCAAGTATTTTCATTGAAATAAAAATATTCAGTTTGAAGAATTTTTCTGGAAGATCCTATTTATATGAAGCAAAAATTTTTCAAATAGAATCAATATCATTACCATTGGTAGATTTTGAATAAATTGATCTGTTATATATATATATATATTATGATCAATGCAAGAAGTGCATATACTATTTACAGTCTTTGTCATCAATTCGGGAATATAGTAGATTTCTTATTCTAATTTTTGTTTGAAAGAACTACTCATCTTTATTTGTTGAACTCCTTTCTTATCGATATGCTTTTAGATGAATTTCAAGTGTGATTGAGTGCAAACGTTAATTCAATTCTGTTTCGTCGATCAACATCCGTGTCTTTTGCAAATGCTTTGACGTTCCGATTCACCTCCTCCACATATTGCTCTTGTCATCAAATGCTTTATCTCGAGAATCAACTGAATTATTCCTTTATTTGCTACTTCTCTGTTTTGTCATAGTGTCGTTAGTGCAAATAAACATATATACTACTGCGAAATATGACAGTTCTTAAAATTCTGAACTGCTATAGTAATTAAGATAACGTTCAGTAATCATTATTACGTATCATATATATTGTTGTTTTAATTATTTTATTTTTATGTAAAACAAAAAAAGAAACAAAATATGAAACATTTTTATATATTTACACAACAAACTAAATCTACTTTATTTAAGTTGAATATTACCAAGATAATCAAATAAAAAATTTGAATTAAACTAAACATTATACAAAAATTAAAATGATTTCATTTGTTTGTTTTTTTTGTCTTATTGTTACAAATTTTACACAAAAATATAATAAAAGTAAATTATTTATTTCTTTCGTTGTATGTCGACAATAAGTGAAACTAATCGTCGTCGTCGTCTTGTTAATCTGAAAAAGATTTTTTTATATGCATCACGAAATTTGGGTTGAATAAATGGATAAAGAATTGGATTGACAGTTGAATTAAGCCATAGAAGCCAAAAAGCAGCTGAATATACTTGACTATTTGTATCAGTTAAAATGTCTAATGAAAAAATACTTCCAACAACAACAACAACAACATAAGGCAATAAAAAAATCATGAATACAAGAACAAGTATAAGGAGTGATGTTGCTGCACGTTTATCTCGTCTTAAACGTCGAACATTACGTTGTTCACCAGTAACAGAATTCGTGCTTTTATTTTTTCTTGATAATTTATATGAATTATAACGCCATGAAAATAGCGAATTTTTTTTTTCTCTATTTGATTTTAATGGTAAATGAAACGTTTGAGTCGATTTTGATGAACGACGAACATTTAATGTCGAGTCCATTGATATTGATGAACGCAAAAAAACATGTTTAAAACGTGTATAAATATTTGATGATGGTTGTTTTGTATCTATTTCTATTGGTGAACATGGTAGAATTGGTGGTGATGGTGAACATTCAACTATATCATGTTCAATCATAGGCTCGTCAACTTCTTTGATAGTTGGTGGAATATTTCCATAATAATTACCATGATTACCCTATTATATATCAAAATAAATGAAAACATATAGAATCCTCAAAGGTATTGATCAAAAGAAAGAAAAGAAGAAAAAAAAAAACATTTTCATATCAAACACTTTCAAAATTGAATATCAGTCTCTAATAATAAATTGAAAAAGATAAAATAGACTTTAAATTTAAATTTATTAAAAATTATATGAATGTCAAAATTAACTATGAATGATGAATAAAAATAAAAAATTAGAATACTAATATAATTAATTGATTATAAAATAAATATTCATCATTTCTTCGTACGATCATTAATAAAAAAAATTTGAAATTGGATTTTGATTGCTTTTCTTGATCCTAGATTAGACGGCAACATAACATCTATTTTTTAAGAAAGATTAAAAACAACTTCTTATCACGTTCATCTATGACAAGAAATAGAGTCTTGATTAATAACGCTC